AATTGCTCAAAAGCTCTAGGCTGCCAGCTTTGTTCCACTCGGCTCTATTAAAGACTTGAAGATGGTGCAGTTTTGATGTGCAGTGGAAGAAAATGTGCACATTACTGCCACTGCTAGCTATCAGACCAATACCTGTGGTTAAGCCACAGCATATCACACCTGGAAACTGGCTCCGTTTTCTAGGAGATGAGAGGAACTATTCCCAAAAGGGCTGCAGGACCCACTGGCTTTCAGGGACAGGAAGCAGGAGAGCGCTGTGGAACTTGATGCTGAGGGTGCTGGGGCCAGAGGATGAAACAGGAACCTCGATGAGAACTGATACGTAAATACAAGAGTGTACGAGGGGTATCCACAATGAACGTAAATACAAGAGTGTACCAGGGGTATCCACAATGAACGTAAATACAAGAGTGTACCAGGGGTATCCACAATGAATGTTAAATTTTTTAAAAACTTTATTACATTAAAAAACACATTACCATTAGTCTTCCTTAGAATACTAACCCTTGTTTTGAACATTGTTATCCCACCATTCCTGCCACTTTCTGAAGCAGTTCTGGAAGTTCTCTTTTGTGAGGGTCTTTACATGGTGTGCTCAAAAACACATAAACAGTGTTTCCAAGTCACACATAGCAGAAAGCCTGGCTTGTTAAAACATTACAGAGTGTCCTCATCCACCTTATTTGCCAGATCTGGCACTATGTGATTTTTGGCTCTTTTTCAAAGTGAAAATGATCGTGAGAGGTAAATGTTTTGAATAGATTCAGGACATCAGGGCAGCTGTGATACTGTAAAAACACAAAAAAGGACTTCAGATTTGCTTTAGGACATGTGTGAATTAATGGGATAACTATGTTGGAAGCAAGGGGGAGTATTTTGAGGGAAATTAATGGCAATGTGTTTTTTATGGTAATAAAATTTTTAAAATTTAAACATTCACTCTATTTTTTTTATCACATTCCTACTATCATGACCTGGGATTTAACAGCCTGGAAAGGACCCCATGTTGAGTGAGCATAGCTCTAGGACCTTCAACAGATGAGTGCCCCTGAGTGAAGTGAAAGAGTTGAGTCAGACATTGGAAATGGCTCAGGGAAGTGGACGTGCCGTAATGGACAGAGGATGTATGTCTGGAAAACTCACCAGCTTGGCAAAGATAGTGTGTTTAACCCAAGGGAGACTGAGCTTGTGAGAGAGATACAAGTGTCTCAAGGCTCTTGTGGCTGCCCTCAAAGGGCAGGATGACAGAAGGAGCTTTTATATTGAAAAAAAATTGGAAAAAAACCCAAGGAATTCATAAATAATAAAGGCCAAATGTCAGTGCTCAACTGTCATAAGCAAGGTGGGAACAATGATTAGAATAAGCAGCAGTTCAGCGACCCTGACCCCAGAGAGCTATGGAGACGTTTATTAGACATGGGTAGGGCGGTACTATTGCTCAACCTGCTGAACCAAGCGATACCGGGATCTGACAACTGCACGCACTGCCTGACCTAAGACTGGACCCTGCAGAAAAATGGCTGCAAAGGACATCATGGGTCAACTGACAGAGCTGAGATTTAATAGATTGAAATATTGTATTTAATCCTGACTAAAGTTGAAAGAACACACCTTCATGGACATGGCAGGGCTGGTCCATCTTCCAGGGCTTTCCCTCATCCTAACTGCTGGTCCTTTCCCATGTTGGGTGCTGTCTCATTCCGACTTCTGGTTTTGTCCCAGCTAATGTCTTCATCAAGATGCTTCTCTCAGCTTTGCTTTGCTTTGTTTTCTTTCCTTTAGTCCGATCATCTTACTTACTTTGTTCCTTTATTTTTAACAGTCCTTGTGGTTCTTTCCACTATGGCATGTCATGATTCTCTTTAGTGAATTTATTCTTTTTCTTTTTGTTGAAGCACAGTCTTTTTGGGACAAAGAATCAGTGTCACTCAAAACTGGTTCTTCCCCCTGGTCCCTCTGTGTATTCAGAGTGTACTTCTAATCAAGACACACAAACGTCCAAACCTCAGGGGCAACATGGGCACTAATTCCTGCCTCAAGGGAATGTCACAAAGCTTATATAGGACAAAGCTCTGGGACTGGTACAGAGAGTCACACAGCCAGTATGGCCTGTTCACACCATCGCTGTGATGATTAAAAGAGGAATAGCCAGTTGTGGGAAAGCAGACTGAACAAAACTCTCCCTGACTTGGAGGGCACTTTAAAAAGACCCCAGGTACAATCTCCAGGAAGAGTTTGCTTCTCCAAGAGCTGTCCCTGCTGTCATGCAGCCCCTGTCTAACACTCAGTTTGGGGGTGCCCGTTACCTTATAAGTTCACCCCTTCAATCTGGCCCAGCTCTCCTTGTTAATTGCTTATCTATGGAGCTGAAGCAAGTTGACAAAACACTCCAGACTTTGGCCTTATTCCTCTACTTGGGGATTGAAGTAGAAGGAGTTATTGCTCCTGTCAGCCCCCACTGTGGAGTGGGTGCACTCATTCTACATGTGCTGAAGGTACTGACCCTTCACAGGGCTGCTTCTCTTGATAGGACCCACTGTCCTGGAGATCCTTGAGTAGTGATGCCACCACCTTGGCACCCTAAGCAGTGTTGGCCAGTGATTCATCCATACAGCATATCAGATACCTAGCCTTTTCCACAGCTGGGGCAGCTCTGTGGTGCCACCATGCTCCTTAGCTCCCCATTGGGTCAGACCCAGCAAGGACTTTAGCTGAAACAACATCTCAGCTTTGTCTCTATTCTTCCTCTTTGCTTCCCACATGTCTCTCCTCTGAGAAGTCCATCACTGAATCACTTGGGCAACAGTTCCATTCCACACTCAGCTTCAGAAGCCCCATCTGAGACAGAGAGTAAGAAAAGAAACCTTGTACGTGTTGGCCCTTCGTTCCATGACTGCCTTGTCCACCGAGCCCAAGTCCTCTGCTCCATGGCTCTTACCTACCACCTCAGTGGCCATGACTTTACTGTTCTCATGGCTTCCTGGGTCCTCTCTTCCAAATTGCTCCATCACCAAATGGAACATCTTCACTAGAAAGAAAGACATGGCCTGGATCATTTAATGAAAGGTAGCAAACTCAATTGCCTAAAGAGGTAATGCTGGGAATATAAATAAGTAGAGTGGCTTTGTGTACTGCAATAGAGAAGAATGGAGTCTGGATAATTGGAGAGCATTTGGTCTCTGCTAACATGAGCCTCTACCTTTGAGAAATTAGAACCAGTGATAAAAATCTGATGTTTCCAGAGAAAATACAAATTCTGATTTATAAATGAAATCTAAGTTTTAAATGTTGACATCTATTAAAATTTTCAAACACTGTGCGAAACCATCAAGCATTTCTCACTTATTTCTCACTCAGCCCAATATTTCTCATTTTAAGGTGGGGAAGGAATCTTTGGGGAGGGCCTCACTATGTAGCCAAGGCTGGCCTCAAATTCATGATCCTCCCACCTCTTCCTCCTGAAAGCTCAGATTAGAAGCATGTGCCACAATGACAGGGATCCACTCTTTGATGAAAGCTTTGAACAATCAGGAGGGAAAAAATTTACTTTCAAAATTACAACAAACTTTGAATACAGTAGAGAAGGTCATAGAAACTTCAATGAATAGGGTTGGGAGGGGATCACTGATGACACTTCTCACTCCAAAAGTTTTTTAATTATTTAGAAATCAACTTTATTAATAACATTGCACCCATTTTAAGTGTACAGTTTGAAGAGTCTTGAAACAAATGGATACCCTCAGGTGACTGTCACACCATCAACACATGCAATGGTGTCATCAGTCCTAGGAGATCACTTGTGCCCTTTCCTGGTTAAGTAGATCATCCTACTCCTCCGCCCCTCAGCTCAGCCACACACGATCTGCTTTGTTGCTATAGATTAGATTTGTTTCACATAAATCGAGTTACATGGTATATATTTGAAATATATCCTTGGTTTTTCTGAAATCTTTTGCTCAACCTAATGGTTTTGAAATCCATCTACAGCGTTTGTGTCAATAGTTCCATCCTTTTTGATGGGCAGGACTGTGAAGAAAGGATGGAGTCTGTGTGGTTTGGTAGCAAGTTGTGGGATTCTCTGGGAGGACCACTGACTATCTTGGTATACCTGCCTGGCCTGAGGCACAAGGGACTTCGGAGCCCGGACACTGCTCTGGGGATCCTGCTGTAGATGCTGCTCAAACATCTGGCACATACCCTTCACCTGTGTCCTGCTCCCCAGTCCAGCCTCACCACCCTCAGTCCCCAGAAGACCCGGACCACAGGTCCAATCCTCCAGTCAGGGCTGTGCAGGTCTAAGCCCCACCATGGACAGTTTGCAGGTCCCCTCAGCATCCCTTCCTCCTATGGAAATGAATATTCAGGACACAGAGTTTCAGATCCAGACCACTCACCTTTCCCCTGATTTCCCAGGAAGCATCAGAGGCCAATAGAAGAGATGGGCTTCTCGAGCCCTGCAGGGTACTCACCGTCCAACTCTCTCAACTCAGTTCACTCCCTATGTAGAAGCAAATTTCTCGGCAGAAATGGAGCTGTGGGTCTGGAAATGTCCAGCAGTAACAGACATTTCCTTGATTATGTCAGTCGTTTCTTGATGAGAGCTAAGGCAGGAGGCTGAAACAGGAACTCTCACTTGCTAGTGCTGCTAGTAGAGTCTGTTCGTGCCTGTGATTCATTGCAGAGGAGCACAACCATGTGCAACTCCAGGCCCGACCAGGGCACAGACTTCCTTGTCTTCCTGCTGGGCTGCCTCAGTTAAAAAACAGATAATGTGTGTGTGTGATGTGATGTGATGTGATATGATGTGATGTGATGTGATGCGAACCAGGCTCTGTTTAGTTCTTGAGCATCGGCTTGAGTGTTTGAGTGGCTTTGTCTCCCTCTCAGGGGAAGGAGCCTGTACAGCTGTATTTCCTGTCACAATGGGCACTGTGAGACCAGAAAAGCAGGAGCTTCAGCTATAATAACTTGTGACTGAGCGCTGTGAGCCTTTGGAGTCCCACAACCCCCGACCCTCATTTCTTCCTCTGCCAATGGGGACCTCAGCAATCCTGCCCTAGGGCATGATGGAAAGGCAGCTCAAGGTGTGTTCCTCACTGACCCCATCAACATAGCTCTTTTGCACAAAGTGAAACCCAGTGCCCCTCCTGTGCCTCCCACAGGGATCACCAGTTCAGCATAGAGTTGCTTCCCCAGATATCTCCATTTATAAGCGCCAGTGGGAGCCTGGTATAAGAATTAATGGGCTGACTTTTCATAGGCAATCATCTCACCAATGTATCCATCACTGAATCTAAAGCACTGCTGCAGGTTTCCATCAATCTTTCCAACATCCATTGGTTCCAGAAATAAGTGTCTCAGTCCATACCAGCTGCTATAGCTGCAATACCATGAACTGGGCAACTTATAAAAAATAGAAATCTATTGATCACAGTTCTGGAGACTGAGGCGTCACAAATGAAGATGCCAGCAAGGAGTGTCTGGTGAGGGGCCTGCCCTCTGCTTCACAGATGATGCCTTCTTCTTGAGTTCTCAAAAGGTGGTGTGGCCCAGCTAACTGCAGGCTTAGATGTGGGTCCCCCAAAGGCCCACAGCACTGTTGGAGGTGGAGCCCTTAAAAATGAAAGGTCTTAGTCACGGGAGGCATGTCCTTGAAGGAAACAGTGGGATCCCAGCACTTCCTTTTCTTTTGTCTTTTACTTCCTGTTCTGAAGTTCTGCTCTGTTCCTGTTCTGCCATGTGCTCTCTCTATGACGTGCTACCTTGCCACAAGCCCAAAAAGCAACGGCACCAACTGGTCATGAACTGGAACCTCCAAAATGGTGAGTCGTAAAACATTTTTCTCTTTATAAGTTGATCTCAGTATTTGTTATAGTGATAGAAAGTTGACTTACACACAAAGTCTCTGGGTCTTTTCTATAAGAGGACTAATCCTTTTCACGAGGGCAGTGCCTTCCTGACATCATCATCTCCTACTATGGGCTGAATATTTCTGTCCCTTCAAAACACAGGATGAACTTCATCCCCAATTTGAGTGTTAAGATGTGGGGCCCTTTGGGAGGTGTTTGGGGCATAAGGGGCTCTGCAGGAAGGGGTTGCCACTCCACTGGTCTGTTTATCAAGTGTCCATGCCAAAAATAAGTGGAGGGGGACTCTATTACCCTTTGGGTTTTTGTAATCTTATTGGAGAAAAAGACAAAAATATATATGACACGTTAAGGAACACACAGAGAAACATGCACATGCCATTTCCCTGTAAGCATGCTTTGACATCTTTAAAAACCAAAAGAAAAAATTTATTTCAAGCAGTTGTAGAAGATGATCTGGAATGATCAGTGATTCTAAGATTCACAAGAAAATGATGCAACTAGATCCATTTCTGAGCCAATAATCTAAATTCTACACATAGAATCTTTCTAAAATTATTTTAACTCATTGGTCTATTTGTAAATGATATGTATTCCATTGCAGAAACATTCAGAGATGTAAGAAAGAAACAATCAGCCCATCCCGGCCCCATCATCCTTGAGCAAATTTTTACTTTGGGTTGCAGTATATGTCTGTGGCCCATTTCCACCATTAAATAAATATCTAAATGGCACAGATGGTATTTGTCCTATTGCTGCATCCAGCTCTATATGGTGGGCCTTTTCATCCACATGGCTTGGAGAGGGACTGTGCTCTTTAAAATCTAGGTCACTCCAGGATTGGCAGAGGCTCTCTACTCACAGGAAAAGGTTTCTAAGAGATGCTAAGATACCTCTCAGGTTTCCAGGGAAAGGGAACACTGGAAGGAAAATCTTGCGGTTTGAGCAATGAGATAGATTCTACCTGCAGCCCCCTCGTGGTTATAATTGGAGACCACATGAAGCCATCTTCCAAAGCAAAATACTTCCCAAAAGGCTCTCCAGAGAAGAGGCCAAATATTCACTTCCCTGAGAACTAAGAGTAGCCACAGTGGAAATGACCTTAGAAATACTCTAGTTTCATTTTGCAGATAAGGAACTTGAACCCTACCTGAGCCTCTGCCCTACCTGAGCATTGATATCTGAAGGGTAGGACCAACATGCCTGCCACATGTAGGACATAGGGTTGAAAAGGAAAAGTGAGCCAAAAAGCTTGTTTGTTTGGAGCACCATCAACAGAGCCCTGGTGGGGAAGCTAAAAGGCCAGACCAAACTGTCATTTCCACCCTCTATGTCCTTTCCTTTACTTCCATGACTGACCATAAGTCTGTGTGTGCTGAAGCCCAGGGCTGTGTCTTTTCAGCATAAAGCCTGGCATAAGGCAGATGCTCATTAAACAGCAGCCTGTATAAACAGCACTGCCATCTCCACCGCACTTGATTCTTGTAAGTATCAGTAAGTAAAGTGCAGTCTACTTGTATATTTATTACTTTCATACCTTCCTCCTCATGGGGAGGTGTCTGGTTTTTTTCTATTTTGCTATAGTCTCAGTACCTACAAAGTTGCTGGGAACAGGTAGATCTTCTTATGAATAATTAGTGTATGAGTATACAACTAAATGAGTGAGTGATCGAATTCAATCAGTCTTTACTTGGCAACATATAATGCCTGTGTGTGTGTGTGTGTGTGTGTGTGTGTGTGTAAGACTATATATATATATATTTTTTTTTCTTTGAGTTACATATGTTTGATATATCCCAATAGCTTTATGAAATCTGTAGAAGAATAGATGCAGCTAGAGAACATAATAATAAGTGAAATAAATCAAACATATGAGCTATCACATGGTTTCTCTTGCATGAGAAATCCAAATAATAAATAAAGAACAAAATAAAACATGATAGAAAGTAGGGAGATGGATCTTTCTTAAATTGAAATGGGATCAAAGATGGAGTGGGGAGAGAAAGGGAATGAAAAGGGGAATGAAGATATGTTCTGCACATGTACAAACTTTACACATGGAATTTAAATGTTATGTACTGCAAACAGGTACTAGTAAAAAATAAAATAAAATAAAATTTTCAAAAAGTGAATGCATACACATGCCAGAAATTTTAGCACAATTGCCACATACACAACAGGGAATTCATAAATAATGTATTACCTTTGCTAATTTATAGAATGCATTGAGATGCATACTTTTCTTAGATATCAGATGAAAATCCTCTTTTGCACCTGTTTCACAGACAGAGAAATCAGGAGTAACTTGAATGAGTCCCCAAATACAGTGAGAAATGCAATAAAAACCACAATTTGCAAATGAGCTAAACCATACCTGGCAGGATAAAGAACCTGTATCAAATTAGGAATTGCCTCACAAAACAAGCATAAATTGTTTTTGTATCAACTCCTCCAGTCCCATATGTTCTAAGACCACAGAAAGAGTTTTCTCCCTGCTTTCATGTGTTTCAAAGACCACTGGTCAGCTTCTCGCCTCATTTACAAAGTCTGCCAGGCATGTTCAACCTTTTTGGCTTGTCTGGGCTTCAGTGAGTGAAGAGGAATTGTCTTAGGCCTCATATAAAATATACGATATAGCTAATGTACAACATGTGATAAAAATATGGTGAAGGCTTACAAGATTATTACAGTAAAAGATACAATACCATTTATCTCCTTCAGAATATTCTCCTTCTCCCTCTCTTTGAACACACTTATCCCATCATTCTTGCCACTTTATGAAGCAGTTCTGGAGGTCCTCTTTTGTGTGTGCCTTTAGTTGGACTGTTATGACTGCCCCAATGTCCTGAATCCATTCAAAATGTTTACCTTTCATGATCATTTTTACTTTGGGGAAGATTTAGAGGTTACAAGGTGCCAGATCCAGGGAATAAGGTGTATAAAGACACACTGTGTTTTAGGAACCTGCCTTTCTGTTGGACAGCACTAGGCAGTGGCATTCATTGTATTCCTTATCATACCTTGTAAAGACACTCATAAAAGAGGATTTTCAGAACTGCTTCCGAAAATGACAAGAATGATGAGATAAGTATGTCTGAAGTGAGAGGGAGTATTATTTAACATTCACTGTTTATTTTGATCACCCCTTGTATATACGTAACAGAGCATCCTTTTAAAATCTTTATTACATTAAAAAATAAGTGGGTAAGAGGGTTGCAAGTTTCAGGTACAATGTATGTTTGAACCACTCTTTAACTGACCCTTGCCTCAAACTTCTCCAAGTCAACTCTGCCCTCTCCCCACAGTCCAGAGGCCTCACCTACCTGGTTCTCAGACAAGGCCCGGCTTTGATTCACCAATTTCCCTTGTGGTGGCCTCAATTAGGTAAGCATGCTCTTAAACAATGGATGTAATACTAGTAGTTTTTCTAAGCCCTCAAAGATCCATTATTTCAATGCTTTATAATGACAGCAGCACCTGGCTCAGTGTGCATACCTGGGGTGGCACCACATGAGGAGGCCAGGACGTTTTCCTCTCCTGCTCCTGAGGCAGCCTCCACTCCTGAGTCAAGGAAGTCTCAGGGAAAAGTGGAAGTGCCATTGGCTTCAATGGACTGGGAAGAGCAGGCGGAAGTGAAACTTGAGTAAGCATTTTCCCCATGGAGCTGAGAAGTCATCTTTTCTGCCCTACTGGATGTATCTCAGCTTCCTCTCCAGGTGGGGGTAAGGAATGTTTGTTTGGAATGGTCCATCTGCTCAAGGAGAGATCCCAGGCTCTGCTCCCACCATCCCTTTCAAGAGGATCCTTTCAAATGTACACCAAGTTGTGTTACCCATACTGAAAACTCTGCAAAGCCTTTCCTTCACCAGAAAATCAGATCCTTCATCCTCCTATGTTTCTGAGTCCCTTCCTAGCTGTCCACCAGCCCCTTCTCAATTCCTTCTTGCACAATGTGCTCCAGCCATGTGCTTCTTCCCAAATACTGGGGTGCCACTATCACTGCCACTCTGGCCCAGTCACCTTCTGCTACCTACACCTCTTTATACTCTTCACAGAACCCACCCTCTTACCCCTCCTCCTACCACCTTTGTTATCAACACCTATGTCATACCCTAGCTTTCAAGGAGATGAGGGAAAGGTCTGTCGTAAAGGGGTGACTCTTGCTAGAAAGAAAAGACCTCACTTTCTCTGCTGAAGGCTCCCACTGCATGAAAGATTCCTGAGGGCCAGCGGTGATCACCCAGGGCCTAGCATAGAACCTGATACATAAGGAACTCAGTGAATAATATTCATACAGGTATCACCTGTTCCTACTGAGAGTCTCAAAGCTCTGTAGTAGAGGAACAATTAATAAGAACCACTAGAGCCCTATGGGATAGGCAGTTCTCGCTCTCTCACTGTCCTGGGTCTAACGAACATAGTGCCAGTGAGGTGGTGGACCCAGAGCTGCACTGCATAGAAGGGGACACAGGAGCCTGAGTTCTCCAGCAACTTCAACATATAGGAACCAAGGCAGCCTCCAGCCCTTCAAATGTCATCAGGTTTGCCTTACTGCACTCTTGAGAGGGATATTTTAAAGATCTTCTTTCTGTGCTGGAGCCTTTGATTTCTGAAAAGCCCAAGGAGAGAGGCTGCTCCAAACTACAGTTCAATTTCCATCACAGTGCAGATGGCCATCTGTTATGATGTAGATCTAAAATATCTCCCAAAACCAAACATGCTTATAGGCAGAGCTTTTGAAATGTGATTGAGTTATGGGGTGGTATAGCTGACTTGCTGTTCGGAGGCAGGGTCTGGTCAGAAGAGGGAGGTCAGTGTGGGTATGGCCTGGAAGGGTCTATCTCCCTTCCTGGCTGCTCTCTTTGCTCTGATTCGTGCACACCAAGAGGTGAGCAGCTTTGCTCTACCATGCCTCTCTGCCATACTGCTTCTCCTTTGGAGCCAGTAAAGCATAGACTAAAACTTGAGCCAAAATAAAACTCTCCTCCTTTAAGTTGTTGAGTTTTAACTTTCAGCAAATAAGGAAACTAACTAAGACACCTTCTGAGCTAAAGATGAGAGAACAGTGTCTCTTCACACTTTCCATGGTAGCCAGTTGAGCTAAAAGAAACTGCTGCTAGCTCACCATTTTCACAGCTGTATGGACACAATCTTAGCCAGTTTCCTCACTCATGCACAGCTTGGGCATGTATGAGGATAGAAGCAGTTACATCAAAATCAATTGATGACTCAACATTTCTTAGCCCCTGCCCACTCCTTCCTTTGGCCAATCATCCTCCTAGGATTACTGTCCATCCATGGTGGGTGACTGCTGTGCTCTGAATGTGTCTCCAGAGTCCATGTGTTGGGAAGCAAATCTTTTGTATCTCCTTTATTGATACATTTTAGGTGTATAATATAATGACATTCATCATTGGAGATATGCACCTTTACATACTCTCTTGGTTCTTATTTTTCCCTCTTCCCCTGCCCTCCCTTCAACCCCTCCATCCCTCCCTAT